AATACACTCACGTCTTATTTGTATTGCTGAAGCTGTGTCCATTCACATAAAGAAACCTGAGCTGTGCATACGAGGGAGAATTACTCAAACACTTCTACTATCATGGTAACAAATTTGTCAATTTTTCATGACTTAATTTTGCATGTTTCCTTGTCTCTCTAATCGCTCATAAACCTTGTCCAACAAAATGGATTATCTTCAATCCCTAATGTATTCTAATGTTTATCGAAATGCTGGCGTTTTAGCAATACAAGAGACTTGGCTGCACCAGCATTATGATGATAATGTAGTTTCAATAAATGGATATAAAGTTTTTCGCCAAGATAGAAAAAGTTCTAAGAAAAAATGTGGAGGAGGGGTAGCCACTTTCATAAACACAAGTTGGTCTACATCAAATCACGTTTGCTTCAATTATTCTAATGACAATATAGACTGCATAACCGTCAGGTGTCGTCCAAAACACTTAAGTAAATATTCTTATATATACATAACAAATATTTACATAACACCCAATTGTAGCCTTTCAAATATAGTTACGTTTGCAGATGAATTTACTGAATTCGCTGCTCCTGCATTCGAAAACTCGTTGTCTATAGTCTGCGGTGATTTTAATTCATGTGATCACAGCTTTCTTACTTCACTTGGTCATGAGAATCTAGTCAAGTTTAATACACGTCTGGACAAATCACTAGACCTGGTTTTCATAAACGACCGTGATGTATATGAAACCCGAAGGAGAGCTCCTTTGCTAAACTCTGACCACTGCATTATTCGTACTTTACCGAAAGTGTACGGCAAGTTACAACAAAAATCGTTTAGTCATTTAACAAAGAAGATACATGAACGTTTATATTCCCATGACAACATTCTAGCACTAAGAAGCATGTTGTATGATACCAACTGGGAACTATTTACTGACGGTAAGTTGGATGCTACTGTCGCTAATATAACCGATTATCTGAAGTTTTGTTTGGATATTTGCTGTCCATATGAAACACTGTTTTCGTGATTTGACAGAATCTCTTCTTTGCAGCTGAAAAAATTTAGAAGACTAAAAGAGAAGTTGTATAAGAATTGTGATAATACTGGTGTCCGTAAAATAAACACCCTTATAAAAACTGAAATAGAAAGGTTGAACAGACTATATAATGAAAATTTGTTATCATTTAAAAATCCTTAAAACATTTGGAAACTTTTCAATAAACTTACAAGTAAAAAACAAATGTCTGTTGATGCTTATTCTGATGTTAATGCTTTAAACAAATCATTTATCATGAAACAAATTAATATGGTTGTACCTGATGTACCTAGTCAAGATAATGGTCATTTTCCGGGTTTTAAAGAAGAGGATGTACTATTATGTTTGAAATCTTTAAATCCAACATACAGCCTTGGTCCAGATGGTGTACCAGGCATTCTTCTTCAAAAGTGTGCAGACATCTTGTGTCATCTTCTTACTCAAATCTTTAATGCTTCATTTAACATGGAAACGGTACCTGCTGACTGGAAAGAAATCAAGGATGTACCTGTACAGAAATCATCTTCTGGAGCGGGTATAAAGTTTAGACCAGTCGCTATAACATCTCCTTTTTTGAAAACTATGGAGAAACTTCTTTTGAACATTCTTAAACCTTCTTTAAAAGCTTTAAGTGACCCTAAGCAGTTTGCTTATAAGTGTGGAAGAAGCACATTAGATGCAGCCGTTGTACTACACCACAATATTGTTTCCTGCCTTGATAAGGGTGCTAAGTTCGTTCGAACAGCTTTTTCATACTATACTGCAGCTTTCGACTCTGTTCCTAGGACACTTTTATTAGGAAAGATGATTTCAGCACAAACAGAGTCCTGGGCAACTAGATGGCTGTCTTCTTATTTTAAGGATAAGAAACAGCATACTGTTTTGGCTGGAAAGCTCTCCACTTCTCAGCTAACTGAAAGTGGTGTGCCTCAAGGAGCAGTACTTTATCCATTTCTTTTCTCTTTCTTTTTGCATGACCTTCCGAACTCACCCAACGTTAACTTCATTAAGTATGCTGATGATCTGACCGTTTCTGTCCCTGTAGTTTCCACATCGGATTGTTCCCATATGAATGGCTTCTTAGCTGAAGTTAAGGATTGGTCTGGCTCAAATGGTCTTAAACTAAATCCAACTAAATGTAATACTGTTGATTTCAGCTTGAGAAGTGAAAAAGACATGCATGGATTGATCCAATCTCATGATTGTTGTAATATTGATGGTACCATGATAGAAAGTAAGCCAAGTGATTCTTATCTTGGCATTAGTTTCTCTTCAAACATTTGCTGGTCGTCTCATATTCTTATAGTTTCTAAAAAGATTTTCTGTCTGACTTATTACATAAAGAAGTTGAGGCACTCAGGTATAACCCAATCTCTTCTCATACAATTTATTAATTCATGTGTTTTGCTCATCATTCTTTATTGTTCTCCATTATTCTTCCCTGGGCTACTCAAGAAAGACCATATAATACTACGAAGAACATTGAAGGCTGTAAGTAAGGTCAGTGCTATCCCTTTGACTCAACTAACCGACACTGTTGTCAATAGGCACATGAATTCTTGTAAACACTTAGCTAAAGTTATTTTGTCTGATAGTGAACATCCTCTTTATTCACAATTGTTTCCTTGAATCTCTTCGGGTAAGACCAGAAGAAATTTCATAAACATTTATGCTCGTACTACAAAATATAAAAATTCGACCGTACCATATTTGGCACGAGTATTGTGTGAAGGGACGAATATCAGAAAAGAACTTTTACAACTTTTAAATCATTAACTAAACTATAAAATGTAATGATGCATATTATTGCATGTGTGATTTGTTATATTATTTATTTATTATTCACTATGACCTAGAAATGGTATGATTTTGTTGGGGTTTTTATTTTTCACATTAATTATCAATATTTTTAACATTTCATGAATTTATATAATTATAAAAAGAGCTAAACCAATGGAATATGTAAAATGAAACGCTGAAAATTCCATGCTGTCAATTGTTATTGTTGTGGAATAAAGTTATTATTATTATATTATTATTAAGAAGTCTTAGTTGATTTCACATTGTCTACTTTGTTTCTATGTGCATCCTAAGTACTACTCAATCATCAAATTATTCATATCACTACGTGACGATTGTTTGTGACAACTCATCACCTTTGTTACTACACTAGTTTCATTAACACCCAATTTTCCTGACCGTTTTCGTATTACGGTACTCAAAACCAAGTTACCGATTCTCACCGCTTTACTTAAAATAACCATAACTAATTGTATTTTGGTTTGAAATACTGTGATCAACATTTGACAGAATAGTTCGAAAATAATTCGACGTCGAGTGACAAGTAGACATTTGTAGAAATAACACATTTGTAAATTCTCAGGAAAATGCAATTGCCTAATTTCAACGCTTCCTACGTTCGGAAAACTGATCCGAACTTCCTCAGGGAAGTTAATCGAAATTAACACAACAGAGGTATTTATACAGAAAAATAAGGACATCTCCTGTAAAGACTCGCTGCTGTGTATAAGGGTGAGGAGAACTCACACGAATAGACGAAATTAACGAGGATGATATTGATGCGATTCGGGTGGTGTGACACACTGGTCATCGACCTGTTTTCGCACGCTTCCCACACACTACTTTAGTCTCTCTTCCTCTCTCTCTCCTCATGCCTGGCTGCCTGCTGTCCTGTACTGTAAGTTTCACACACATACATCACTGATGTCATCCAATTTCTCATCTTCCAATTCAGCCTGTTCCAGTTCAGGCAGTTTGGCTGTTGATTCATTGATCGACTGATCAATCGATGGAACGAAGGCGTAGACTAAACATTGCCATTTATTAATGTTATCTTACGTTGTTGCTATGTTATATTGTGTGATGTGATGTGATTTGAATGCATCATGAAAACTTCAACATCTCGTTTTTCACCAATCATGAAGTAGACATGAATAAATCAATGACTGAATGAGAGAATGAGTGAATGAAGGAATAAATGCAAAGGATTGAAAATCTCATATAGACAATGGAAACACCCACACACACGCACACGTGGACACAGACAGACACACAGACCAAGCGAGATACAGAGGAGTGATATAAATAGCCTGCATGCATGCATACATCCACGCCTACATGATTTAAAACAAACCCACGTACATAAGCGGCAGAGCATTGTACCCACACCACGAAAGCAAACAACAGTCCAATTATTCAGCAGTAATTTCTACATTGAAATGGAAAACAAATCACAGGCTGCCACAAACAACAACCAATGAGAAATACTTGATTCCGAAATCCTGTGACCTCAATCACCAGAAAACAAGGCCAACATGTCTAGCCAACACTCGTGTGTGTCCTTGTGACGAAAACCACTGGAACATACAATGATAACATCCCTTCCATATACATACACCTATGATAATAAGTCAGACACTGTCTCTATATAATATCAACATATATACAAAAACACGCAGAAATATACCAGAGAAATACACTAACCGAGAATAATTTAATCATTATTACTGCTACTACTATTATCATTACTATTATTATTCCTCTTATTTATTATGGCCGATACATCTGCGACACAGAATGATGAAGCAGTCAAAGAAACAGCAAAGCAATTCATACCGATGACATTCACAAAGGACGAGGTGAAAGAATTCACACAACTACTAATCAAATACAAGAATATGTTGAGGGATGGAGAAAGAAGTCAGCCATCACTGCTGATGAAGAGAAACATGTGGATGCAATTCTCAGAATATCTGCACTCGAAGGGATATCCGAGACGACACTGGACTCGACTCCGTTATAAGGGACAGAAAATGCTGAGAAAGCTCAATCTCACGATGACAGACAGACAGGACACAGTGTGTCTCGATACTCCGAAGTCCTCTGAATCCGCCACTATTCATCACGTGGCGGTCAGTGTTAATGGAGATTCCCATGTGAGTGGCCAGTGCACTTCGGTATGTTCACATTTCATAACGACATGTTAATCCTATTGAATGAAGGTAGGCAATGTTGACTCGAGTGTTCGCCAATTGAGTCTGCCGTTACTGACTCCCTCACCATGTGTTTGGATATCACCGAGACCCCACATCAATTCGACGCCTTCTACGGTCTCCACTGACACGAATCCTTCAAACACGATGGGTCTGAGAATCTTGAACGTCTACTCAATAGCTCCTATTCCCCAAAATTTGTGTGTTCCATACGACTCAGTGGAGAAGACTGTGAATCGTACGAATAAGAGCGACGAGTTGAGTGATGGAATTCGAGCACACAGTGGAGTGGATGAACCTGAGAGTGTTTCGAATGGTGTCGGTGAGGTGAAGGGTTGTCGTGTTGGCGATGTGGGAGTTGGTGATGGGTGTGTTGGAGGAGGTGGTTCTGGCGTGAGTGAGACTATTGATTTGTCGTTGTCGAGTGATGATGAGGAGAGTTGTGAGGAGATGGATGTGAATGGAGTTGGTGATGATGTAGTGGGGAATGGTGATTCAAGTGACCGGGGTTATAGGTGAGTAATGATATTTGTTGTGTTAATTTGTCCTACTGTGCTGTCCTGTCATGTGATGTGATGTGATGTAGTGTGCTGTGCTGTGTTGTGTTGGTCCTAGTTGGTCACTTCTCTTGATTCAGGTTGAATTTCGAATGTGACTCAACTCTTGTGTGTGTGTGTGCATGTGTATTTGATTTACTATAGCTTTGATAATCTGGGAATAGATTGAAACTCGGGTGTTTAAATTATTTCACCTTTGTAGTTGATGTTTGTTCTTCATTAGTTAGTGGAATTGATTATTGTTGTGGTCGTATGCGTGTATGTTTTCGCGTACGCCTGTGCTTGTGTGTTTGTGTAAAGGTGAGTTTGTGATGGTGTCAGCAGTGAAGAGGAGGATGACTGTGACTGAGGATGAAGGCGACACACTGATTGAATGAATGAATGAATATGTCGGTGGAGAGTGGAGAGTGGAAGAGAATGATGATGGTGTATTGATCGGAAATGCATCATACAATAACGAGATGTGTTTCGGTGATTTCAGTTGGAGAGTGTGCAGTTATTTAACGATTCCTGTGTACATGGAGTGTTAATTGAGAAGAGAGGTGAGCAGTTGTTGCCAGTTAGTAAGGCGATGTGAGTGTTCGTCGGAGCTTCGGCTCGCGAATGGGTGTTTACATGTGTATTGTGCATTCTAGTGAGTGAGGTTGTATTTTGAAGTGTTTATTTCCACGGATTTGTTGATTAGTGTGAGTTGAGATGAATGAATGAATGAGTGGGTGAGTGAGTGAGTGAGTGAATGAGTGAGTGAGTGAGTGAGTGAGTGAGTGAGTGAGTGAGTGAGTGAGTGAGTGAGTGAGTGAGTGAGTGAGTGAGTGAGTGAGTGAGTGAGTGAGTGAGTGAGTGAGTGAGTGAGTGAGTGAGTGAGTGAGTGAGTGAGTGAGTGAGTGAGTGAGTGAGTGAGTGAGTGAGTGAGTGAGTGAGTGAGTGAGTGAGTGAGTGAGTGAGTGAGTGAGTGAGTGAGTGAGTGAGTGAGTGAGTGAGTGAGTGAGTGAGTGAGTGAGTGAGTGAGTGAGTGAGTGAGTGAGTGAGTGAGTGAGTGAGTGAGTGAGTGAGTGACATGAATGAGTCGGAGAATGGAGGGAGCACACAGGAAGTGTTGTAGAGTTGTTTGTTTTTCGACTGTCACTATTCACCAATGCTTTGCATATATCGATATGTGTAATCTATCTATTTATTCATTTAGTTATTTATTCGTCTGTGATTTACTTGACGAGATGAATAGTCCAAGGGTATTGCAAATGCACACACAGAGTGACAGAATCTTCAATATGAAGTGTACGACTGATGATGAAGTGAAGGTGGAGAGTGTATGGGAAGGTGATTGTGAAAACTGTGTAGCTGATTGTTGTCGGTGATTGTGGATAAGTTAATAGTAGATTAAATCAAGATGAGAGGGATTGATCTGTGAGTGAGTGAGTGGGTGAGTGTTTTTGACTGTAGTTATGTAACTGTTGTGGTGAATTTGACAAGCTGTGATTCGTAGTTGAGTTGTTTTGTGAGGATTGAATAACAGAATTTTCTCTCTCTCTCTAGATCTGAAGATGATGATGTGGATGATGGTGAGAGAAGACGACGTTTGGCTTTGCTGTTTGAGAAGCAGATGAGATATCTGGATTTGAAGATTGAAGTTCTGGAAATGAAGAAACGCTATTGGTGTGAGAAGATGAATTCAATGTCGCGATGTTGAAGCTAGGCTGAGGAAGTATGCTCAAATGAGATATGCATAATTTTTGTTCACTTCGATATTTGTAATAAATTTTGATATGTATTCACCAATGATGTTTTTGTGAATGCGTTACTGTATCGAATGTTTTGCAAATGAGTCTCTGAGTAATGTGGCGTGTAATGTGAAACAGCGTATGTGTAGGTGGCGATTTTGTTGAGATCCGGTGGAGATTTTGTCTGTTTCTGCTGTCGAAGTATTTGTTGAGATGATGGAGAGTGATGTAGGCGACTGATGTTCACGTAGAGTCTAGGTGATGGCATTATATTGAAATACGTTTCATATTCTCACGATCCTTTGGGTTATGACACACGGAATTGTTTGGGTGTGTGTGTGTGTGTATTTGATTCTTGGTGATATTCAGTTGGATGGAGTGATGGATGATGTGAATAATTGATTGATAAGGCAGGCATCTTTGACTGTTCTGATTGTTCTCCATGTGATCAGAGTTGTTCTTATAAGCATGAAATTTGGTCAATTTTGGGGACTGTTACTCTTATCTTTAATGGAGTGATCAGAGTTGTATTTTGATGAGTTGTATTGGGGGATATGACTAGCCAGTTAGTTATTATATGGTGGTCATATCTTCTGTGGAATTCATGTATCGTCGTGTAAATTTCAAGCTTATTGTATCCTTGACGGAGACTCGCATTTCCTCGACTGAGTGTTAAACTGTCTTTCTGCCTGCCTGCCTGTGAGTAGTTATGACAGTGAGTCGTCTCTCATGAAGTTAATTTTCTTATGGTGAGTGAATAGATTGCCAGCCAGACAGACAGACAGACAGAGGAAGAGAGATATAGAGCGATTGTATGTCGTGGAGGGGTGTTGAACATGATGATTCACAGTGAGGGATGTTGTGATGGTGACGGTGACGATGATGAGAATACTCGTGGTATAGATAGGCTGGTAGTGCACTGATACTCGGTATTGTTTCCGTTATTATTACTGTTGGATTGGTATGATTAATGTTAATATTACTGATGTTATTGTTATGTGATTAAATATCTTATCATGCAAGGGTTGAACTCGATGAGAATTTGGATGAGTTGAGGATGAGAATTGTCGGTGAATAAGTAGATGAATTTGAGGGAAGTTGGTGTAGGTGACCTCCAACTCTCCACACGAGTTTAACCTGTGGACTTTTCAGAAGTCATCAACTGTGAAGGTTGTTTTTCGCAATGTGAGTGAGTGAGTGAGTGATTGAGTGGGTTAGTGCTTTGAATTGCACAGAAATGATGAAGCAAGAATAGCGTATGCAGTGACTGACTATTTTGTCATGATGAATTGGTGATGACTGTTGTCTAATTAATTCTTGACTAGTTTTATTGGTGTGTGTGTATGTGTGTGAGAGAGGGAGAGATGCATAAATACTGATGACGATATATATGAAGATGGATTAAACTGGTGGAGAGCGTCAGTAACAACTGACATCATGCAAATATGTTGGATCACCGTGAGTCACTCTCGGAATGTCGACTGTTTATCCCTTCAAGTTTTGTCAATTGAATCTTGTGAAAGAAGTTTCGTTGATGTGATTGACTTGGGAGAGCTAGAACACTGACTGATATGATGTGTTTCTAGACGGCTGAGAGCTACAGTCACATGAGACGATTGTGAAGCGAGCACAGGTGATTAAGAATGAGTCAGTGTGTTGACTGACCTGAGTATATTTTGAGACGAATATGGCTGAGAAATAAGAGAAATGAGGAGGTCAGTGGTTGATTTCGAAGGACTTCACTGACACGTTCGTGTAGTGGAGGAATCATTTTACGGGACGGAAAGCGTCGTCTCCTTCTATATCACAGCTCTCATCATGTGTAGATTTCAATCTTCACTTGTGGAATAATTGAGTGTGGAGAATTTAATGCTAACACAGGCTTTCCTGATTCCTGAATACAACACCTGAATTGTGAACGCCTGTCGCGATAGATGTGTAAGGTGGGTTGTGGGGCTGAGAATGCAGGAAGTGAATGTTCTGCATGTTCCAGAAGTCTAACGACTGTATATATGTATATGTGAGATTGAAGTTTGGAGGTGAGGTAGGAGAGGTGGCGATGGTTCGATGTGTTGGGTCGTATGTGTACTAAGGATAGAGGACATTAGTGCCGAACGAGTTTCTCTGAGTGACAACGCCTCCCAAACACACACAGGATCGATGACTAGTAAGTAATTGAAGGAGAATAATGAGAATTTGATGGATGTGCGAGTTGAGCGTTGACAACGATTTCGCGTTATGTCAGCTACAGTCACCACCCATTGATTGTTATCGCTAGATTTGAAGACGCCAGACAGCCAACCTACACACTTCCACGTGCTTGAGTGCAACACTCGAGGATTTCACGAGTCGAATCAACCAACACCATCACCACCACCACAACCACAACGAACTATCCTTCGAAGGACTCGGTTTCAATGCACTGGGTAACTTGGTAGGTGAATGGTCGGGCTGGCTGAATGGGATACGCATAAAGCGTGAACATTCGGATGATGACACTTGTGTCTTCTATGCATTCTTCAAGTAGGTGTGTGTGTGTGTCTGTGATGATATGCCCAGAATCACTGAACTATCCGAGGTAATATAAGTAGGGTCTGATCGTGTATACATTTAAATATATAATTGCTGAGAATGGTGTGCCCACTCAACTACCGTCATTACTGGTGTCACCAATAGAATGTTTTCTTCACATCACCCAACTCACACTGTCATCTGTCGTCTGTCGTCCACCACTTACCCTCTTCATATTTGTTTGTTTATTTATCTATTTATTAATACATTTCAATCAGTATGGAAGGAAGTCATTCGTGAAGAGATTCGACGATGATAATGACGATGATGAAGATGATGGTGGTGGTGAAGAAGAAGAAGCCTTGGTTTATAGATACTTGGTGTCAGCGGCAATCACTGAGTTATCCACTTCGAGTTGGTACATGCATAATAGTGCTTGATGTGGTGTTCGTTGCAGTGTAGTGCAGTGCTGTGGTGGTGCATTCATTCATGTGTCATGTTGTCGTACACGGTGTTTGAGCTGCCTTTCGTCACACTCACTCCCTCTCCTTCTCTCTGTCTCTCGTTATCTGTCTCTCTGTTTCTGCCATTCGCATTCTGTGCAGTTAGTTGTGAGGGTCGGAGGCGTGTGGTGAATGTGACTTTGTCATCTTCCTTCTAAAGGTAGAAATAACACTCTTTTCTGTCAGAACAGAACAGAACAGAACAGAACAGAACACAAGAGAACTGTTCGCTCATTGTTTGTGAGAAACCTACAACAACAGAAACAACGACACAACAAGAGACAAACCATTTGTTGTAATATCCCTTATTCATAACCACTTACTCACTTACTCACACACTTACACTTCTCCACACATACACACACAGAGTCTCGAAATAACGAACCAACGAAGGAAGGCAGGAACGAAAACGATGTGTGATGTGGTTAGCGTGAAAATACACGTGACTGCTCTCCAACTTACTTCTCTGATTCATCGATTCATTCATTCACTCACTCACTCATTGATTCATTCATCGCTCTGCTGTCGACTCTGTATGAATTGGTCATCATTTACAAACTGACAGTTCACGATGATAAGGAAGCATCATCAACGTGATTCGTTGTGTGTCTCCAGTCATCTTGTTTCTGAGATATAGGCAAATTTCTGCGATCCAGCTGAACTCGTCGTTACAATTAGCTTCTCTCACTGACATCATCTCTCTGATTCACGTGTTTTAAAGCAATTAGTTCCCTTTATGAATTTCGACAACACAATAAGAAGACGTAGTTTATCTGAAACGTGTAATGTATTGGCGCAACACATTTCGGACATTCTGATCACACACGTACTTGTCATACACAGTTTTTATATAATGCAAGAAGGCATGAATAATTACAATACAGGTCAGATTGTATACAGGTCAAGGTCACAAATAATGGGTAGGGAGACACAAAAGGTGTGGGTAAGAAAGATAAAAGGAGAAAAAAACAAGGCAAAGAAGGGGTTGAAAATATTAGGAAGTAAATTAGTCCTTGGTTCTAAATTGAATTACCAAGGCAGGTTTAAGGTGATAACAAATAATTTTTGGACACATAAGACAGGTTTAAGTCTTTTTATGGCTAAGGCTTCAATGAATTTAAGTATGTGGCCCAACCTCGTTTTATATATCGGCTTAAAGGCACTGTTGAAATCAACCTTATGACCCGTCTCTATAATATGCTTGGCTATAGATGATGTTGGACATCTATTTCCGGGTTCAATTGTGTCTGGTGATTTCATTTGTTGCTGCAGCCACTTTGGAATGTGTTCTGTAGCCCTAACCTGCAGAGACCGATGGGTCCTCCCTATGTACGTGTCTCCACACATACATGTAAATTGATAAACACAGTGGGATGTGACACTATCGTTCGGATGATGTGAGGGTTTACAGAACAGCATAGTCCTCGTTTTCTCTATGAAGATAAGTTTAGCTGCATAATAGGTTCTATTGATTGCGGCCTTTAGTCTTTGTCTAGTGACTAAACTTTGTTGATCACCTCTGAACGGTAAGGATATGTAAACATCCTTTTTGGGAGCTGATTGGATTGGTAAAGCTCTATGGTTGACACTTCCGTAACGTCTAATAAATCTCAGTGGGTAATTGTTGTCTAACAATATTTCAGTGAGGTGTTGTCTTTCTTCTTCAATTGTATCGGCAGTACATATACGGTGAATGCGCTTAAACAAACATTTAACCAACGCCTTCTTATACTGTAGTGGACAGAAACTATGATAATTTAGGTACTGTCCCGTCCATGTGGACTTTCTGTAGACAGATCGTTTTACTGACCCATCTTCTCGGTGGGTTATTAGTACATCTAAAAATGACAGGCATCCATTATTCTCTTCAACGTATGTTAGTGATATACTGTTTTGTGCTCTATTGATCCGGTTCAGGATTTCTACGGCATCTGTCGGTTTATCACAAATGACTATTATGTCATCTACATATCTTTTATAAAAATAAACTTTTCCAATTTCTTTATCCACTAGGTTCTCGACATGCGACATATATATCAGCTAACAATGGACCTAGGGCGCCTCCCATGGCAACATCATCGATCTGGCGATAATGCTCGCCCTCGAATGTAAACTTAACATTCTTAGTACAAGGAAGCAGTAACTCTTTTAAGTAGGAAATGGATACTGGTAATAGGAAATCATTGTCAGAGATGTAATCGCATAAAATGTCAACCGTCTGTAAAAGAGGTACATTCATAAATAAAGATTCAACATCTAGGGAAAACATCGTTTTGTCCTTTATATCAACGTTATCAAGACAATCAATTAACTCAAAAGTGTCTTTCAATGAGAACTTACAGAAGCTTCTTCTAATCGGCTGTAATATTTCTGCTAGCCACTGTGCAAGTTTGTGGGTTGGGGATCTGCACATTGACATTACGGGACGTAGAGGAATGTTAGGTTTTGGTATTTTGGGGAGATCATACATGTGTGGTAATTCGGACTGCGTGGGCTTTAGTGAATTGAACTTCTCTCTGTTAATCGCATTCATATTTAAGAGTTTTACTAGATTATTTGTCACCATATTTTGTACATCCTTCACATCCTCCAGACTGGAGTCCCTCATAAATTTATCATTATTTCCAAGAATGCATAACATTTTACTTTTGTATTCAATTTTGTCCATTATGACTACACCAGACCCTTTATCTAGTCTGAGGATGACGGTGTCAGTATTATGCTTGAGTTCTTTTAGAGCTTTAGAGTGCTCAGATGTTAGGATACTTTTCTGAGATGTACGACTATTGCAAAATTGGTGAGCAATGTCAACTAACTTTGCTTTGAACCAACTGTGATGGTCTTCAGAAGCGGGAGTAATAGGCTTCAACTGGTCATATAGAGATGCTGGGATGCATGCATATTGGGACAACCGCGTATCATCCCGCGTCAAATGGGCTAGTAGAGCGTTTTCACCGCCAATTAAAAGCCGCATTGATCGCAGTAGACAACAGTAGGTGGATGGATTCTCTGCCCTTGGTCCTACTTAGCATCCGTGCCACACTCAAAGTGGATCTACAATGTTTCTCAGCTGAATTGGTGTATGGCACTACGCTGCGTTTTTTTTTTTTTTCTTTTTTTTTTCTTTTTTTTTTTTTTTTTCAAAGGCTATAGGGGAAACCTGTTTCTAGGCTCAGAGTTCATGCCGCTGGCTGTTCTCTTGACACTTTTAGCTCCGTGACCTCAGGTTGTTTGCCGTTGTGTATGTAGCTAGGGGGCATTACCAACCATAGGGCAGTAGGGGGGCAGAGACTGCTAGGAAGGAAAATTCGATTATTTTTCTTAGGAATAGCTTTTACCCTCTGATTTATATACCATTAGATTCCTCTCAACAAGACGAATCGATTGGTACCTGTCTCGTCCCTGTAGGCTTTACCGTTGCGAAATTATGGAATTTTTGATGTTCTGCTGGTTTTCTCCATTTTTTTTTGCTTGATCCCGAGGCTGACCGGCAGCTTAACCGGACTTCTACTGGTATGACTGTGGCGACGGTATCAGTAGAAGATAACTTGGGTCGCCACACCGCTCCATGAGTAGCTCCGTTGACAGTAGCAGCGGACGCCAACGAAATTTTTCAAACCTCACAACCTACTGATACATTGGCGACGGTATCAGTGGGGGCTGGACTCAGTCGCCACCATTCATCAATCCAAACCTATGAACCCAACAAATCTAAGAAATATCATGCCGGATCGGCCGTGGCCCGGATTAACAACGACCGCGCTTTCTGCTGCCGTGTCACAGGGCAGAAGTGATAAGTACACTACTGAGACACACCAGGCCGCGTGTGACCGGCCTCAAGCAGATGTCCCCTGGACTCTGCGGTCACGCAACACTAACCTTTCTTCCATTTCAGGTACCCGAAGACGAAACTCAGGCGTGAGGCCAGCAACCCCACCCTGTAAACAAACCTGCTACAGAAACTTCACCATGAGCAATCTCCTTGCGACAAAAGAAAAAGTCTGTGTGGGGACATGGAATGTCCGCACCATGTACGAGACTGGCAAAGCTGCCCAGATCGCCAGCGAGATGAAAAGATACAGAATCCAAGTGCTGGGAATATGTGAAAGCAGATGGAATGGAAGTGGACTCACCAAACTATCAACGGGAGAGTCAGTGATCTACTCCGGTCACCCAGAAGACAACCACACGCACACCGAGGGCGTGGCTATCATGATGTCACCAACGGCAACGAAAGCCCTGATGCAATGGGAAGCGATCTCGTCCAGGATAATGACCGCCAGATTCAACTCCAAAGGAAGAAAAGTGTCAATAATCCAATGTTATGCACCCACCAACAACGCAGACCTCGAAGCGAAAGAAGAATTTTACAGACAACTACAGGCAGCAATAGACAATACTCCAGCTGGCGACATTAAAATACTAATGGGAGATATGAACGCCAAACTGGGACCAGACAATACAGGAAGAGAACTCATCATGGGTAGAGAAGCTCTTGGAGAAATGAATGAAAACGGAGAACTCTTCGCCGACTTCTGCGCCTTCAACGAACTAGTGATTGGTGGCAGTGTTTACAAGCACAGAGATATCCACAAGGCTACATGGGTGTCACCAGACGGGCGAACCAAAAACCAAATTGACTTCATCACAATATCGAGGAAGTGGAGACGCAGCCTACTGGACACAAGAGCAAGAAGAGGAGCAGACGTTGGCTCAGACCACTACCTCGTACAAGGGACAATCCAAATCAAATTAAAAGCTTTCAGGGAAACAGGAGCTGCAGATAGACCACAAGCCAAGTTCAACACTCAAAAGCTGAAGGACCAGGCTACAAAGGACATCTTCATTGCAAACATAAAGGAAAAAGCCGAGACACAAATCAACACCAACGAAAAGGTCAGCGTCGAAAAGCACTGGAACAAATTGAAAACGGTGTGGAGTCAAACCTGCATGGAAGTCCTAGGCAGAAAAAAGAGACAGGACAAACAGTGGCTCTCTACGGACACTTGGAAACTAATAGAAGAGAGAAGGGTGGCGAAACAAAAGATTATCCAGTGCACCGACGAGCAACAGAAACAGGAGTTGAATGCAAGCTACAATGCACTGAACAAAAGAGTGAAGAAAAGTGCCAGGGAAGACAAAAGAAAATATTGTGAAACCATGGCAAACGAAGCAGAACAAGCTGCAGGCAAAGGAGACCTCGCTACACTATACCAGACAACTAGGCACCTTTCGGGCAAAAGTTCGACACAGATTAAGCCAATAAAGGACGACAATGGAAAGTCAATCACCAAAGAGGTGGAACAGAGGAAGCACTGGGCTGAACACTTCAAAAGACTTCTAAATCGTCCGCCACCTACAACGCATCCAACAATACCAACAACGGAAGCAGAACTACCAATGAACATCGACCCTCCGACGAAATCCGAAGTCCTGAATGCCATCAATATGCTAAAAGCTGGGAAAGCGCCAGGACCAGATGGAATCCCAGCAGAAGCTTTGAAAATAGACCCAGAGACAACAGCGGACTTGATGACGCCACTACTAGAGAAGGTGTGGAAAGAGGGCAAAGTACCCGAGGATTGGAAGAACGGATACTTATTCAAACTGCCAAAGAAAGGAGATTTGAGTCAATGTAAAAACTGGCGTGGAATTATGCTTCTGTCCATTCCAAGCAAGATACTATGTCGCATCATCCTGAAGAGAATTAAACAAGCCCTAGATGAAAAACGTCGTCCGGAACAGGCCGGATTCAGGAGGAACAAGTCATGCATTGACCAAATCGCCACCCTACGGATTATCATTGAACAAAGTTTGGAATGGCAGTCACCTCTCTACCTCAACTTCATCGATTTTGAGAAAGCCTTCGACAGCGTCGATCGGGAGGTGATTTGGCAACTACCTCGCTACTACGGGGTGCCGCCGACAATTATACATCTCATCCAACAGCTGTATGACAACGCTGCATGCCAAGTAATCCACAACGGGAGGCTCACGGAATCCTTCGAAGTGAGGACGGGAGTGAGACAAGGCTGTCTACTGTCACCAATGATCTTCCTGATTGCAGTTGACTGGATAATGCGGCAGACAACGGCAACCAACGAGGGAACAGGCATAAAATGGACCGACACAAAAGCCTTGGAGGATTTGGATTTCGCCGATGATATATGTCTGATTTCCCACAAACTGGAAGATATGCAAGTGAAAAGCAACAAATTGGCAGAAGAAGCAGCAAAGATAGGACTTCAAGTGAACATAGACAAAACAGAGGTAATGAAGATTCCTGGCCAACATCAACAGCAACAACCGACAACAATCAGCATAAATGGGAGGAACCTGAAGGAAACAACTTCTTTCACCTACCTGGGAAGCATCGTCTCAACTACAGGAGGAACTGACATGGATATCAAAGCCAGAATCGGAAAAGCAAGACAAGTTTTCACTTCTCTCAAGTCTATGTGGAGGTCAACAGCATTCAGCGTCAAAAATAAGATCCGTATTTTCAACTCCAATGTGAAGTCAGTACTACTATACGGATCAGAGACTTGGCGTGTCACAAAGAGCAGCTCAAACAAGCTACAGACCTTCATTAACAAATGCCTTCGCTCAATACTCAAGATTAAATGGCCGGAGAGGATCAGCAACAAAGATCTCTGGGAGCGAACCAACCAGGAACCGATCGTGAAACAAATAGGCAGGAAGAAATGGAGATGGATTGGCCACACTCTGAGGAAACCAGCAAGTGACATCACTAGACAGGCCCTCGAGTGGAACCCGAAAGGGAAGCGACGAGTT